AACAATTTGGTACTGACATAAAGCTATACATACAGATCAATGGAATAGAATTGAGAGTCTAGCAGTAAACCAAGACATCTGTGACAAATTGATTTGCAATATGGATGTCAAGACTGTTCAGTGAGAAAAGATAATTCTTCAACAAATAATGCTGGGACAAGTGGATATCCACATGCAGAAGAATAAACTGGGACCCCTACTTCACACCATATACAGAAACTAATTCAAAATGGCCCAACAACCTAAGTAAAGAACTAAAATCATAAAACTCTTACAAGAAAACAGGTATAAATTTTCATAACCTTGGGTTTGGCAGTGGATTCTTAGATATGACACCAAAAGCATGAGCAATAGAGAAAAAGATAGGTATGTTGGACTTTATCACAATTAAAAACTTTTGGGTATCAAAGGACATTGTCAAGAAAGTTAAAAGACACTCTATAGAATGGGAGAAAATCTTTGCAAATTGTATTTCTGATAAGAGTCTAGTATTTAGGGCACCTGGGTGGCTCAGTTGGTTAAGCGACTGCCTTCGGCTCAGGTCATGATCCTGGAGTCCCGGGATTGAGTCTTGCATTGGGCTCCCCGCTCAGCAGGGAGTCTGCTTCTCCCTCTGACCCTCTTCCTTCTCGTGCTCTGTATCTCTCATTCTCTCTCTCTCAAATAAATAAAATAAAAAATCTTAAAAAAAAGTCTAGTATTTAGAATATATAAAGAACTCAAACTTAACAAGACAACCCAATTTTATGATGGGCAAAGGACTGGAATAAATGCTTTTCAAAAGAAAATATGCAAATTTTCATGGCCAACAAGCACATGAAAAGATGCTTAAATTCATTAGTCATTTGAGAAATGCAAATCAAAACCACAATGAGATAACCACTTCACACCCACTAGAGTGGTTGTAATACTTAAATATGTAACAAGTGTTTTCAAGGCTGTAGAGAAATTGAAACGCTCATACATTGCTGGTGGGAATGGAATGTGGTACAGCCACTATGGAATAAAATTTGGCAGTTCTTCAAGCGTTCAAACATAGCATTGCCATAGGACCCAGCAATGCTAGATAAATATGCAAAGAGTTAAAAACAGGTACTCAAACATGTACACGTACATCATGTTCATAGAAGCACTGTCACAATGGCCAAAAGAAAACAGCCTAGATGTCCATCAATGGAAAATATAGTATATCCAAACAGTGGAATATTATTCAGACAAAAAAAAAGGAATGAAGCAGTGATACGTGCCACAATGTGGATGAACTTGGAAAAACATTAAGTGAAAGAATCCACACATAAAAAGTCACATGTGATATGATTCCATTTATATGAGATATCCAATGCTTACAGACAAAATGCAGATTGAGGGTTGCTAAGAGTTGGGGAGCAGAGATAAAACTAATGGTTTAATAAGAGGCTCTACTTTGGAGTGATGAAACTGTTTTGGAACTAGATAGAGATGATGATTGCACAACATTGTAAATGTGCACAACAGGCACAACTAAATGCCACTTAAATGTTCATTTTAAACAATTTTATTTTTGTAAATTTCACCTCAATAAATTCAGTAAATGAAAAGCTGCTCAGGAGATAGACTAGTGGAGCCCCCACCTGAGTATGTGGCTTTGACTTGGGTACTTACCTAAGCTGTTTTCCACAAACCTGGAAGCCACTAATCATAAAGGTCTTTAATGAGTGCTTTCTCTCAGGAAATACTAATAGGTTTGTTGTGTTCTAGAAGGGCTTAGAATCCTCACTCTTTTCTCCAGGGGGGATCAGTCATGGGGACAGCAAGGACAGTGCAGGCAACTCTATTTGTTTTCAGATCTTTTTCTTTGCCCTTAAACCCAACTTTTTCTGTTTTTAAGATTTTATTTTTAAGTAATCTCTACACCCAGCATGGGGCTTGAACCTACAACCCTGAGCCAGCCAGGTGTGCCTCCCCTTAAACCCAACTTTTATTGTGTGTGTGCGTCATAAGGGAAACCACATTTCCAACTTTACATTTCCTTTCAAAAGGGAAACTTTAATCATCGTTTCCAATAGTTCTTAAGTTGCAGAGAAGGATTACATCAGATTTAATAAATCCGAAGTGACCTCACCACCCTCAGGACTCCGTTTTCTCCCCTGTCTCAATAAAGGGTTCCAGGCCAACAGTGGCTTGGGGCTGAAAACTAATTATTGCCACCATCTCCTGAGCCATGCTAGTGACCTTATCTTAGGGTCAACAGACTGTGGCCCACAGGCCAGATCCAGCTAGCCAGGGATTTGTTGGGGTTTTTTGGTTTTTTTTTTTTTTAAGATTTTATTTATTTATTTATTTATTAGAGAGCGAGCGAGAGAGAAACAGCACGAGAGGGGAGAGGGTCGGAGGGATGTGGGACTCGATCCCAGGACCTCGGGATCATGACCTGAGCCAAAGGCAGTCGCTTAACCAGCTGAGCCACCCAGGCGCCCCTTGTTGGGGGTTTTTGTTGGTTTTTGTTTTAATGGCCTGCAAGCAAAGAATGGTTTTGAGGTTTTTCCAGGGTTGTAACACAGCAGACTATATGACCAAGACCATACAGCCACAAAACCTAAAAAGGGTACCCTGTGACCATTTATGGGAAAGCTCCATTGACTCCTGTGTGTCATCCCCTTCTGGTCCCTACTTCGTATGCAGCCAGAGGAGGGTGGGAGGCTCCCTGGGTCAGTTGCTGGGGGCAGTGCGGGGCATAGTGAGCTTTGGGGCAACCTGTGCAGACTCTTGTTTCCCATAGCAGCCTCCCTGTCCCTGCAGTCCTCAGTGAGCCCTCCCCCCATTACTCCTAGGTGCCCAGCCTCATGTGGACATTTCCTAGACACCCTCAGGTCTAGGGCTCCTGACCTGGGGAGCTCTGAGGCTCACAGAAGAACATGGTCAGCCCATGTGCAGCATGTGATGATAGGTCTGCCTGAGGGTCAGCAGAAGGGTAAAGCATGGCACCCATGTGTTGTGCCAGCCACATGGCTGAGTTCCATAGGAGAGTCTGGCGCAAACTTCATGCAAGGGGCAAGGAGTGTGCAGGGGCTTCCACATGTGTGGGCATGGCAGGCAGACAGGCTGAGTGTGTGGCCAGGCCAGGTCTGCATTGAGATCACTCTGGTGGCTCCAGAGGGAACAGAAGTGTCCAGATGAGGCAGGGACACAGAGTGCTGTTTTGTTAAATCCTAGAACTTCCAGATGGGGAGAAGCGGTGTCAGCCTGAACTGAGGGGCAGGTCAGAGGGCAATGAGCCCAAGGTAGCATGGGGAGGTTTGTCCAACCACCTACTCAGCACCACTGACTGACCAGATGAGGGGTCATGTCAGTCCCAGGATATGGAGCCCTGTCAGGAAGTAATCAGGGCTGTACAGGAGACAGCAAGAAAGGACAATGGTCAGAAAAGTTCTCTCCGGTGAAGTGTGCTTGAGCAGACACCAGGCAGAAGTGAAGGAAGAAGGCACCTGTGTGTTGCAATTGGTTAAACATCTGACTCTTGATTTCGGCTCAGGTTATGATCTTCGGGTCATGAGATCAAGTCCCATGTCTGGCTCCGTGGAGAGTCTGCTTAAGTTTCTCTCTCCCTCTCCCCCTCCTCATGCTCATTTTCACTCTTTCTCTCTAAAATAAATCTTTTTTTTTTAAGATTTTATTTATTTGTTTGACAGAGAGAGACAGTGAGAGAGGGAACACAAGCAGGGACGTGTTGAGGGAGAAGCAGGCTTTCCTTCCAAGCAGGGAGCCTGATGCAGGGCTCGATCCCAGGACTCTGAAATCATAACCTGAGCCGAAGGCAGACGCTTAACGACTGAGCCACCCAGGTGCCCCTAAAATAAATAAATCTTAAAAAAAAAAAAGAAGTGAGGAAGCATGAGGACCATCTGGGAAGAGTGTTCCAAGCAGAGCAGATCCTGAGGTGAGTGTATCCATCCTGCTCAGGGAACAAGAGGAGAGGTGAGGGTGAGCTCAGAAAGGGCCTGGGCGAATGTTGAAGTGCTCTGATGTCACTAGGCTGTCTGGGCAGGAGGGGAAGGTGGTAGGCCAGGTAAGCTACTCAACATCCAGGTGGAAAAAGATGGCAACAGAGTGGTCTGGGTGTTTGAATGAGACAGAGACTTAAGATCTGCGTTCAACTGAGAGATCCAGGGGAGTGACAATTTCCTCGTTCCTTCAGATGTGAAGAGAGAAGAGGGGGAGGTGACAGAGCCCTTCTGATGTGATGAGGAACCCTGTGCACATTTCTGCCTTCAGAATGATAGACACAGCAGCTTTAACATTGTACCAGGGCACAAAGTTGTCCAGTTAACACCAGTCAGAATTGCGGGTTTTAGGGGGTAAGGGTTGCTTTGGTAGGACAGGGCACAGTTTCTGAAGCCTCCTCTGTTGAACGGGACAGAATCTGATGTTTTAGGCAATCCCCACTGCAGTTCTCAGCCTGCCATGCAATCAGAAGCACCCTTGCTTCTCTGAAGGGAACAGTCCCCTCTGCACCTGCCAGCAGAAAGCTGACCTCTCCATACTGATGACTCCTGAGGCAGGGCCTGAATGCCATTAGTTGGTACTAAGAAAAATACTGGCCCAAGAAACATTGTGGGAAAGACAGAAGGGTACAGTGAATAACAGTATAGCATGAGGTGTATAATGTTTTACTTGTACAGGTGAGAGCATTAAGTACCTGGATTTGAGGCACTCCAGGGTAGAGCCATCAAGACTTGCTGATGACCTGCAGTGGGAGAGGGGAGGAGCAGTTGAGGGGCACCTGGATTTTGACTTGAACCAGTAGGGAGACTGCAGGTGATTTCCTGAGATGTGGGTCAGGGGGGTGAGGGTCAGTCTTGTAGGTTGAGGGCCCTGCTGCCTTGTTCCTTCAGAGCTCTCCCAGCCCCCTCTCTCATCTCCTTGAGAGATTTGGGACTACCGCCCCCAGTGGGTCACACATTCCCAGATGTGTCATCTGTATTTTCCTGTTTCCTTCCAAGTGACTTTGTTTATCATTTCAGATTGGGACACCAGGACTAAGGGCAAGGAATTTCTTCAGAAGAAAGAAGTTTCTGAGGATTTGGAATCACAGGCAGAAATATCAGAAAACTATACCAGTGATTTTTCTCAGGCACCTGAGCTTGGAGAACTCTGTGATGATGTACTGGAGAGAGATTGGGGAACCCCTGACAGTGAGAGACGGGTGCAGTCAATCTACCAGGAGGGGGGCTTTACACCAGTGGCAGTGCTCCTTAGGAGCCCCTTAGAGAAAGAGCTGGGCTGTGATGACTTTGTAAGAAGCATCAGTCTGAGCCCAAACCCAACAGCATCTCAGGGAATTCCTACAGAAGAGAGGCCACATCTGTATGACATGTGTGGCCACAGCTTCCAACACAGTATGGACTTAAGTAGCCACGAGGGGCTTCACGTAGCCGAAAGCCCACTCATATGTAATGATTGTGGGAAAACCTTCAGAGGAAACCCTGATCTTATTCAGCATCAGATAATCCATACTAGACAGAAGTCCTTCATATGCAATGAATGTGGAAAATCCTTCAGCCAGAACTCATTTCTTAAAAATCATCAGAGGTCTCATGTGAGTGAAAAACCCTACCAGTGCAGTGAGTGCAGGAAAACCTTCAGTGTGCACTCAAACCTCATTAGGCATCAGATTAACCACAGCGGAGAGAAGCCTTATGTATGCAATGAATGTGGAAAAGCCTTTAGCCAGAACTCAAGCCTTAAAAAGCACCAGAAGTCTCACATGAGTGAGAAGCCCTATGAATGCAGTGAATGTGGGAAGGCCTTTAGGCGGAGCTCAAACCTCATCCAACATCAAAGAATTCATTCTGGAGAGAAGCCGTATGTGTGCAACGAATGTGGGAAGGCCTTTAGGCGGAGCTCAAATCTCATTAAACACCACAGGATTCACACAGGTGAGAAACCTTTTCAATGTAATGAGTGTGGGAAAGCATTCAGCCAGAGCTCACACCTGAGGAAGCATCAGAGGGTTCACACTGGAGAGAGACCTTACGAGTGTAATGAGTGTGGCAAACCATTCAGCCGGGTCTCCAACCTCATTAAGCATCACAGGGTTCACACTGGAGAGAAACCTTATAAGTGCAGTGACTGTGGGAAGGCCTTCAGTCAGAGTTCAAGCCTCATTCAACATCGGAGAATTCACACTGGAGAAAAGCCTCATGTATGTAATGTGTGTGGAAAAGCCTTTAGTTACAGCTCCGTGCTCAGAAAGCACCAGATAATCCACACGGGAGAGAAACCGTATGAATGTAGCATCTGTGGGAAGGCCTTCAGCCACAGCTCAGCCCTCATTCAGCATCAGGGTGTGCACACGGGTGACAAGCCCTATGAGTGTCGAGAATGTGGAAAAACATTTGGTCGGAGCTCCAACCTTATTCTTCACCAGCGAGTTCACACTGGAGAGAAACCCTACGAATGTACCGAATGTGGAAAAACCTTCAGCCAGAGTTCAACTCTCATTCAGCATCAGAGAATCCATAATGGATTGAAACCCCATGAATGTAACCAGTGTGGTAAAGCCTTCAACCGAAGCTCAAACCTCATTCACCACCAGAAAGTTCACACTGGAGAGAAGCCGTACACGTGTGTCGAATGTGGTAAGGGCTTCAGCCAGAGTTCACACCTTATTCAACATCAGATAATCCACACTGGTGAAAGGCCGTATAAGTGCAGTGAGTGTGGGAAGGCCTTCAGTCAGCGTTCAGTCCTCATCCAGCACCAGAGGATACATACCGGCGTGAAGCCCTATGACTGCTCTGCTTGTGGGAAAGCCTTCAGCCAGCGCTCCAAGTTGGTCAAACACCAGCTGATCCACTCCAGGGAATGAAACAGAGTACAGCTCCATTCCTGACTCCTCTGGCCATGTCCCAGCTTCACCCACCTCCCAGACTTGAAGCCAGGTTCACTTGCTGCCCTCTACCCCCACATCCCACTGTCCACAAAGCCCAGACCCTCCTTCCCCTGCCATCACTCCTGCTTCCTGTGACCTCTTGTTTCTTGTTTGTTTTGCTTGTACATTTTGTTATCAGACTGCCACAATTGTTAGGAGGGAAAAGATGATAGAAGCTGCATATTCATGAATAGATTTTATTACTATAATCAAACAGAACCAAAAAAGTAAACTGACATTTGGTTCGAAATAACCACAGGAATTCTTTTCTTTGGTAATTAGTCATAGAGTGAACTCTTTGTGTATGGTTATAATTAATATTCTGCTTACATAAAATCAGGTCAAGAGCTTTTCAGGTCTGATGGCAGTCATCCTCTCTCAGAAGTGGTGTGTACTCATTACCACCAGTTTATTACCCTTTCTTGTCCCTCCCATGCAGTCACTAGATGCAGGATTCCTTCTGCCTTTCCTTTGTGCCTGAGTCTGAGGTCTTCGGGGCTGCTGCACAATTACACAAGCAGCTGTTTCCCACCCTCTGCCTCTGTGCCTTATGCTCCTGGCTCTTGCCCCACAGAGGCCTGCCCTCTCCATACCCCTCCTGTTCTCCTCACAAGCTCCCAGACTCAGTTTTCTCCCACACCCATTCATCTCCAGACACTCCTGGAGCACCTGTGAGTGCTCCTACTAGGTGGGGACTGGCCCCTCCTCAGTTTCCCAGAGCTGTGCCCTTCTCCATGAGCAGTGGGAGTTGTCCTAGAAGCAACACATCTGCCACCAGAGAGGACCCTCATAGCCAGCCAGCCAGCCCATCTCAACTTGGGGATGTCCTAGGATAGGTGGACGGAGAGGCACCGCCTGTGTTTTTCCAGGAGGAAAGGCATTGATGGGCAGATGTAGTCAGGTTTGCAGTTAGGGTAGGAAGGGAGGGGCTTGGCTTCTGTGCTTTCAAGGAAGTAGAGGCAAAGCCATCAATTGCAAATGAGGGAGAGGTTTGAAGATGGAAGTATGGGAGAGTTGGCTCAAGGGTGCACAGTAGCCCATCACTGCTTACCCCCTCCCCTCCACTTCAGCCCCACCTTCCCAAGGACACACCCTAGACAAGAAGCTGCCACATTTGTAGTTTTGCTGATAGCATTGCTAGGCTGACCCTCCAACTTACTTGTTCATCTTTCCACCACATGGAGACATCCATCTCTTCACTCTCATGCTTTCTCACTGTCAGGCAACCCTCTCTGGCTTCACTTTCCCCCTTTCCCAGCCTGGATTCCATCGTTTTTTCCAGTAAATACTTGTGGGACGCTTACTACATACCATTTGCTGGGGACACAGGAAACCGGACAGAAAAACGCCTGCCCTTGACGACTTTACATTCCAGTGGGTGGAGAAAATGCCCTAACGGTTATGATTGTCATGAGGCAAAAGGAAAGTAGGAAATACAGTCTGGGTGTCTTGAGGGGTTCTGCTTTAAATAGGGGCTGTCAGAGAAGGCCTCACCCAGATGTCATTTGAGTGACAACTTGAAAATGACCAGTGAAGATGGGGGGTAGAGTGTGACAGCAAGAGTAGCTGGTTGGGAAGCCAGAGCTGGGTAATAAATTAGGATTTCGCAGATTATGACCTGCTGGAGGAGGAGGCACGAGCCACCCACACAGGTCACCAGGTAGCTCCCTCTTTGGGAAAGTGAAAACCCTGGGGTCTTTTTCAGTGAAGGCACAGTTTCAGTGCAGTCACACAAAGGAATTAAATTCACGAGATTTACCACACACAGATCCCAGAAGCAAGGGGGCACAATGACCCAGGAGAAGGGCATTCCGCCATCACAGGTCATGAGTGAGCAGGAAATTGAGAGCATGGTAGCACATATTACTCAGGAGGTGCTTAGGGTGGAGGTCACTAACTAAACTCAAGTTGTGATCTCAATGTCCACACACTGGGTGTGTGTAGGGTTATCATACGCTAAAATGCCTGGGCAGTAACTGGGGAAAACAAAAATTTTTCTCATCATGCCAGTACAGAGGTCCTGAGCAGAAACAGGCCTAGAGTGTTAAAGAATCATCACAGGTCAGTATGGCTAGGAGTTGAGTGAGCAGAGGGAGAAGCAGGTAGGGTGGGAGGTAATGGGCCATATCACAAAAGGCCTTATGGCCATGACAAGGACTTGGGCTTTTATGCTGGGTGAAATGGGAGATGCTGGAGGCTTTTGATGACTTACATTTTAAGACGGTCATTGCTGTGTGGAGAGGCTGTAGTGGCAAGCATGTCCTCTGTGTTACTCCCTTCTCAACTCCTTTTGCCCTTCTCCTGGCCTCCACACCGTTGGCAGACCCCCTGGGTCTGAAGCATAGCTGTGAGAGGCCAGAGTTTAGACACAGGAAGGAGGAGTGAGTGTCAAGCTTCACTGGGCCCTTGTCCCTACACAGTGTCTGGGCAGAATTGACCAAATTCAGGGGCCTGCTGTCTGCAGCCTGAGGAATATTAATTTTGGAACATCATGTTTCCAAAGAGAAAGTTTGGAAAGCAAATTGTCAACTACAATTTCTTTTGGCTTTCATGATGTCCTTGGAAATGTTTCTTGGAAAACAATGGCTCAGAAGCCTGGGTGCCCCCTCCTTGATACCAACAGATTTCAAACCATTCAAACCCTCCTGGACAGGAAGTGTGAGGTGTGTGCTGTAGTCTCAACCTCAGCCAGAGCAAATACCCAGGCCAGTGCCCTTCCATTGCCCCTCAAGGCATTTTGACCTGCCCTGGTATCCCTGCCCTGCTGACCTCAGTTATTCAAGTAATAAACCTCATGCCCTTGTGGTGTGTGGCATTGTCAGTCTTGACCTCTGAACCAAATTGGGTGGCGGGGGGCGGAGGCATCCACCCTGAAGGTAATGGTAAGAATTGGAGTTGGCACTGTGAGCAGGATGACTAGACGATGGCACCACGGGGTTCTACCTGTTCATGCAGCCACTGTCTGCAAGCCAGCATGTACTCAGCCATGCCACACGTGCTGCATTGTTGAGTCCAACAGAGCCTTTGTTATAGATGTAGCTGTCCTAAATCACTTGATAATTACTTGGTGTTTAGGGATAGCAGTATGGTATTGGAGCCCTCCTTAAAGTGGCCCTGAGTTGTGTGTCTGATCCCAGACCTATCTGTATAGTTGAGGCCAAGGCTGCAGCTGCATCTAGCTCAGGGGAGAGACCATACCCTATGTGAGATCTGTGTCCATTAGGTGGCCACTCAGGAGAACATTTGCAAGGAGGCATTAGGTGGCATGCCGAGTGAGGCCCACACTCCAGAGAGCAGATGCTCACTAGAACCCTTGAATACCACCATTACAGCAAAGATCCTGATCCTCCGGGTTCTAGGGAAGAACACCCCCAGCGCAGCCAAGAGATTAATTCAAACCCAAATTAAACCTATAAAGCAACCATTGCTGTTGGAAGGCCTTCCAACTGCTGTTGGAAGCCAAACCTTGGCCCTCTGGCATATTCCACCTGCAGAAGGGGCAGCCTCCCCGGTCTTCAGTCCCTGCCAGATGCCAGGGTGTTGGAGGGCAGCCTTCCTCAGACCCTTTGACTACCTGGGGAGCCTCTTGGGATGAACTAAGTGAAAAGCTGGGAATTCACAAGCAGCGCTGCCAACCATCATAGATGATGGAGCTCAGTGGGGAACTGCCATTCCTCATTTCTTAACCACGACATCCCTAATAAAGAACCAGATCCAGACATCAGCACAATTGGCCAAATTCCAGGCAATTGTCTTAGCACTGGATGGCCTGGCTAATGAATGGCCCCATCTGCACATTTTTACAAACTCTTGTGCCAGTGCCTAAGAGTTGCCCATTTAGGGCAAAGAACTCTCAGAATCTCTTGCCTCACAGATGTCTGTACCCATACACAGGCCACAGTACAGTATCTCACCAGGACACCCTCATCCCCTCTGTAGTAGCTGAGGCACTCTTGTCACGTCTCAGAATACACAATGCTGAACTCTTGAAGGATTCAGTGACATTTTCTTCTCCCTCACTGACCTCAGGCTGCAGGTTGCAAGAGTGCTGTATAGCTTATTTAAACAAGCACTAATTCAATTAAATATGGTGTGTTTCAGTCATCAGATTACAGAGGCAAAATATAATGAGTGGTCTGGTTCCATTTTCTGGTATTTGCTGATAGCTTTGGACCCTTATCCCCCTTATTCTCCATGCCCACATCTGGACAAGCTGATAAGAAAGCTGTGCTCTCTCCTTTGACACCAGCAGAAGATTCAAACCACACAAGGCTTCACCTATGCTTGGCAATCCCAGCCACCATACCCACTGACCACAATAAAGACCCTAAGTCAGTAACCCTTTCTTGGCTCTCCTCTCAAGCCATTTCAGACCAGTTTGAGGGGCCTTCCCTACTCTCCTCAGATACCTCCTTTCCATGCCTTCAAAAAAAAAAAATAGAAGCACTAAGCACTCTTTGGCCCCAAACCTTCCACTCTGTTCCTTGGTTTATGGACATCAACAAATTCCTCTGTGTTGTGACTTCTCTGAAAGTTCCCTTCAACTTCCTGGTTTTTTTTTTTTTTTAAGACTTTATTCATTTATTTGAGAGAGAGCATGAGCAGGGGGAGAGGCAGAGGAAGAGCGAGAAGCAGACTCCCCGCTGATCAGGGAGTCTGATGTGGGACTCCATCCCAGGACCCTAGGATCATGACCTGAGCTGAAGGCAAATGCCTAACCAACTGAGCCACCCAAGCATGCCTCAACTTCCTGTTCTAACTAAAACCTGGTTGTCTCCCGATCACACAGTTCGCCTGAAGCCTTCTCCCTCCCCCATGTACCACTGGAACTGGAGATTGGGAGGGTGTTCTCCTTGCTCTTTACTTCCACTCCCAGACATTATTCCCACCTTCAACCAACAACCCCAGTTCCGTTAAGAACAACAAACAAGCGGCTCTAACAGCTGTACCTGGCCTGGTACAAACTGCCAAAAGATTCATGTGCTTGGTAGAGTCCTGGGAGATCTCCCTCATATAACCCCACAGTTCATGCCCCACAAGTGGGTCCTGAAACTTCTGGGGTCAAAGACTGATGAGGGGGAAGAAAGAGTTTCCCCCAAAGTCCACAGGCACCCCTCCACATGAGGTGAAGCTGGGAAACTCTGGAGCATGGTATGTGTAGAGCAGGGCCAGGTTATATGCCAATCCTGAAGCCTCCATGGCTTGAAGAGAACTCCTGAGTCTGAGGGGAGAACAGGGCCCTGATGACTGCAAACAATTCAGGCCATGCCAGGACAGCTGTGAGAGCAGAGTCTTAGCTGGACCATTCTCCTGGGGCTTGGCAGGCAAGATCCAGACAGTCATCA